AGAGAGAGAGAGAGAGAGAGAGAGAGAGAGAGAGAGAGAGAGAGAGAGATACCGAAAATACGTGAGGAGTTATTTAGAGGAATGGATAGAAAATTGCTAAAACAATTGTCAAAATATTGACTTTAGATAGAGGCTCTGCATGTAAAGGAACATGAATTGGTACGAGGACAAGAAGGCATAAAGTAAGTACGAAAGTGTGCATTCAACTTTTTAAACCAATCGTTACATCACCTCACCATATTCATAGTCGTGACTTTGAATAGATGGCGCAATATGTTAGAAACAAATTCATCAATCCATTGAGTAAGCGTTTCTCGTCAAAATTAAAGGTATATACGTCTCTTATAGCCGGGAAAAAGCACTGGCCTGGTGGTGATGGTAAAACCCCTAACTTAGTCTAACTATGCAATGACTGGCCAACGTCGAAATGAAAAGTTTCGTTCATCTCTTTTACTTAAAGCAATCTCACCTAAAGCGAAATGCGTGGAGATCACAACTCAGTCTTGCTGTGTTCAAAAATTAGAATCAACTTTGACATATACCATTGATCTCTCAATTAAATTAGAGCAGACTAGACTGATAGACATAGAGTGATTGTCCTTGTGCATGAACATCATGACGCGTACAGTTTGTTGTTATATTGCTATTCTTTGGTGACGCGGTATGAAAATAAAAAATATAAATAGTAATAGAAGGCTAAAAACCCATAAATAATAAAACTGCACCTAGTCGCTCGAGCTAGTTTAAATAATGCCAGATGCTAATAAACTTGTGCGTCTGTAAGCTACATATTTTATAAAATCCTTAGATAAAATTCTTAAGAATAATTTTTTTGAATATTATATAAAACCTTTGTACAATTTTTTTTAAGCAATCGCTACTTTTAAACCTTGCCTTTGCAATACCAGCAGTTCTAATTAAAAATATTTTAAAATTACATTTATTTTTATATACATATATAAATATATTAAAAAAAAAAAAAAAAAAAAAAAAACCATTCATATGCATAAATTTCTCATTCGATAAAATTTTGTTTTTGTTTTATTATCAAAAATTTGACAACACACAACATTTGCTTCACAATTGTGCTTCTCTCTCGACACTTAAATCACGTCACTATTGTGTTTTATATGTGAAATTGAATAACGTATGAAAAAAAAACCCACACTTGCGGATTGAAACAACATCACAACACATTTACGAAAATATATGGATATGCACTAAAACGTCATCAAATTGATCAAATTGCAAAAAAAAAAAAAAAAAAAAAACCAAAACAAAAAACAATGCTAAATAAAAATTTATGAGAATAGAAGCAAACATTCTTTGATTGTTTGCTCGATATGGCAGCGTTAGATAAAGGAGGCTCACGCCAGGGTTCAATAAGTTATGAGCCGAATGGCGATGGTGCGACAAATTCACAAACGCATTTATTAGCCGGTACACAACAAACTAATGGTGACGCCGACCATGCCAGTTTGGCGAACTTAGCGCGTCGTAATACGATGAGAAAACGTTCCGTTAGGTAATACAATCTCACCCTTACGACTTCTTACAGTCAATCATTTATTCTCTTGTAATTATAAAAAAAAAAAAAAAAAAAATTGCCTCATTCATTATCATCATATCAATGCAACATACAATCACAACCAGTGATGCCAATCTTTGAGATGCGAAGAAAACGCGATTCGATCATATCGAATATTTTAATATGAATAACTAGGTCTCGCGATTTAGTTGCTTAACAAGTCGGAACGGTATTTTATATTGTATATAGAATACAATTGAAGAGGCATCTCGTGCGAACTAAAAACAATATCTACATAATCTTGGCCGAACTCTTGAACTCACTCACTTTCCGTCCTTGACGCAAAGAAATGACAATTCAAAAGACGAATTTCAGCTTTAAGGTAGAAGGTTCCTTATTCTAAATCACAAATTCAAAGGGAAAGTGAAGAATGCTCTAGAACTATGAAGAAGAAGATGAAGAAGAAGAAAAAAAACGATAAAATTTCTAAGACATTTGATGTTTTTTTGGGTCAATGAGAAAGTTTTGCATTAGATTTTCGATTTCCCGTTGATCACATGTTCGCACCAACACAATCACAATGGCAACCCTTTGTCTTATTCTGGAAAACCATATCAAGGATACCTTACCTTAGGGCATCTTACCCATCTTACCCTTCTCTAGGGTACTTACCCTGGGAAACCTTCATCTCAGATAACTTCGCCTACCCATGCACACATTATCTTAGAGAACCTTAACCTAGCTATTTTACAACGCTAAAATATCCGGTAGAATTATTTGCACCATTTCTGTAAAATTGATTTCAATCGGGTTTTAACAGAAAATTCTTATTATGTAAGATTTGCTTTGAGAGGCGAAATTAATTAAACGTAATAAAAATATAACCAAAAACTTGTTTCATCGACTATTATAAGATATACCTAAGAAGTTGGCATCACTCGGTTTAAGATTCACGAATACACGAACTCTGTTGTCAATTTTCACATACAATTTTTACGAATCGTTATCTAGTATAAAATATTTTATATAAGATATTTTTATTTCATAAATTATAGATGAAAAAAATGTATCGAATTTTTGTCGCGAAAAATGGTATGTGAGAATCCATGGTGTATATATAATCATATACTTAACTTCCTATATTTTACTTTTTCGTTATTGAGAAATCTTCATCTCTTCTTAACAACATTTCAATCATTTTTCATGCAACACTTTCATAATAAATACTCTGTTGAACAATTAATTCATTTCATCATAGGACAATTATCTCTCATGCAACATTTTCATAAATGATGCTTTATTTTATCCCCTTCCACATGATGATAATTAAAAATTTTATTTTTGTTTTTTCTCAAATTTTTCAAATAATTTCAGAAGCAAAAAGGTGAATAAAAAATTGCTTTTACAACAAATACGGTAAAACAGGCAAACAAAGATTAAAAAAAAAAAATACAAAAAAAAAATTTTTTTAAATAATAATAAAAATAATTAAATAAAAATTAAGAAAACAAAATTGCTTTCAATTGTATCGATTAAACCTAATTAAATGTCTTTAGTAAAACAAGTTAATTCAAAAGAACGAAAAACACTATATGTATATTTCAGTGTGTGATTTATATATACATGTATATCTATGTGCGTGTGTGTGTATTTATAAGTATGTCCCGTTATAATTGATGTTGTTAACTTTCATTTATTGGCCAGTTTTTCTAGTACTAATATATTTTCTTATGTACCGGTTGTAAAGAAAAGCATTACCATGTAAATGTCCTTACACTGTTTAAGCTTAGCTCTCTTCAACGTGATTTTCTCTTAAATTCTTTGAATTTATAATTATACTAGCTAACTATCTAGATAGTTATGGGTAATTCATTTTTTTTTTTTTTTTTTTTAATAATATAAATAAAAAATTTTTTTTTTTATTGTTTTTTTTTTTTTTTTTTTTTTTTTTCTTTAGCTTTCTGTAGCGTAAATAATGTCAAACTCGGCATTAAATTTAAGACCTAACTGAAAAAGACTGTAATAGATGTTCTTCTCTCCGCTTCATACGTTTGAAAGTAATTGATATTTTACGTGTAGGAGATGAGTGTAATCGAAAATGTATTTTATATAAATTAGATGCGGTGGATGTCTGATTGCAAGAAAAACCCGTTAAACGAAATTAAAGATTAATCTGTGAGATGATGTAAGACGATTTCTAACCAATTTACAATTCCTTGGCGACTTTATATAAAATAATAATCCACAAGAAACTTAAGCTGTATGCTTAAAACACGTAATCAGCCGTTTTATGTTAATATAATATCTGTCTATCTTCAAGTGACGGCTTATTGTTCTTATTGGATTTGATACTATCGAGCTCGACAAGAGATGCAACAAAGGTGTACCTAAATATTTTATAAGAGTGGAAAGTTAACCATCAGCGCTTTGTACCATCGTGAGTAAGCTCAATCGAGCAAATGCCGTCGCGTTATTATCTTTTAACAACCAGGTTTTGTTAGACATGTGTTTGTAAATCAACTCAACTCGACCCTTGGCGACAATGTCTGTATAATAATTCTATATATAATCTGTAATCTGTCCAAATTTTTAGTTACGTAAACTGTATTCGTTAAACGTCCCCTTCCAATTTTACTTGCACAGGATGTGGAAACGAGATTTAATCGTCACCAAATAGCTACTTCTTTCAACAGCCCTTGCGTTAATCATTATGGCAATTATTACTCGTAGCCATAACGAAACTAATTATAATAATTATTGCGCTTTTTCTGGCAGCGAACGCGAATTAGCGAATTAGCTTCCGTTTCCAACAAATATCTTCAAAAAATTGTTATTTATTTCTATTTTTTTTTCTTTTTTTATATATTTGTGTCACCGTTAGGTGAATAGGAATGTCGCCAGCCCCGTAAATTTCACGTATTTTTAATCAAAACGAAATTCTCTCTAATACTAACAGCGCCTATCTGCTTGTCAGCGGACTCTTTCTGTTTCGCTATCTATAATTCTCTTCATCGGTCTGCTTGTTTTGACCCACTCTATATAATTTGATTATGCGGCCAAATTTGCTTATTTGTCTCCTTATTCGCTTATTTGTCGTTATGCGTACTTGCTCGCTTATCTGGCCGTCCCCACTATTTCTAGTTATCAAGCACGCAAGCTAGAATTGGAAAATATTTGAAACACTTGACGTTTTTTTGATTAACAAGTGAATAATGAATATTTGAAGACATGAGGTGAAAAGAAGAATCATGTCACGCCCTGTGACTTGTAGTCGCATTCTTAAACTTATTAAATTTTCATTTAAATGTTCCATCTATTCTGCGCCGCCCACTGTTTGATACAGCAATGATTGATAAACTCTGATCGTACAAGTCCTCATGTCATTCTTATGCAATAATTAAAAGAATGAATTGTCAATTCTGACTGCAAAACCAAGTCGTCGTGGAGTGCACAGAAAGGAGTGTTTCGTGTAAATAATATTTCTAGCCTTTATCAGTAGATGAGATCTGAGATCTGCGTGAATAGTGGTATTATTCTGGCCTAATAGGAAAAGGACGAGAGGGTTGTTTCATCATCGGTTCCCATTCACTGTCGCTGTATATTTGTACACATAATAAACTCTTAATGTTAGCGTTAGTTGCTTTACAGGTCTAATAAATATATACGTGTAGAGATTTTCATATCTTTACATAAAAAAAAAAAAAAATCATTACATAGAATCAATCATTTAAATGAATTATTATTTATTAGTTTTAATTTTCCATTTTGTAAATATACTTTTCAATCAAACAATCATTCATATGTACATAAAATATCGAAATGAACTCTCTTCATTTGCCGGGTAAGTAATAGTTGTAGATGGCTTGCAAGATTTTTCTTTCCTATTGATATGACTTTCCTTACATATTTAATGTCTAGTAATTAGCACAAATTTGATTAATTTACTTAACTTTTTATTTTCTTTATTAATCTTTTTCTTTTTATATACATATATATATATTCTTATATATATATATATTGTTTTTTTTTTTTTTAATACTCTTAGCTTTTATTTTGATTTTTAGTTTAGTTTTCTAAATATAGGACAAAAGAACAAAAAAAATATTCAAAATTAAAAGAGAGAGAAAAAAAAAAAGAGAAAATTCAAAACTCAAAGAAACAAAGTAAATCAAATCGATAACTATGTAGAACCAAATATATATTGAATTTTAGGTTATATTTACTTTATACATATAAGTAGTTTTATATATACATATATACATTTATCAAAAAAAAAAAAAAAAAAAAAAAAAAACTATATATATATATATATAAAATAGAAAAAAGAAATGTTGTTTAAATGTTATTTGTATTTCTTAATGAAACCTGCCTGATCAAACCCTTACATTATAACCGAAAAAATTATTGCAAATTTGTTTTAAAAAAAAAAAAAAAATAATAATAATAAAGTTTGAATTCTTACCGTATAATCGTCTGTAATATATTCCTTCTTTAATATAATTTATTTATTAATTGTTTTTTGTTTTTTTTTTTTTTTATAATAAAATATCCTCTAAACACAAAATATAGATGTTGGAATTGCAAGATGCATCAAGGCATCCATCTCAGGAATCCCTAACCGGAGCCGATGCTGGCCATTTACATCCTGGACACGCTTATCAAAACGGTCACCGACGTTCGCCTAGCATAAGGTACGTTCTACTCACAAAACGAAAACAATGTTAAGAAAATGTATAAAATTGTATTTTAAATTAAAAATTGAATAGATCTCCCAGTCCTAGACGACGAGGCCATCAATACATACATCATGATATTGGGTTCTCCGATACTGTATCTAATGTGGTAGAGATGGTCAAGGAGACCCGTCATCCTAGACACGGTTATGGTCACCATGCGCGTTACCCAAGAGGTATTTTATGCAAACATAAAAAAAATTCCTATATGTATATGTATACGCATCACACACAGACACACAAACACATATATATATATATATATATATATATATATACATAATTTGTTATATCCACTACCAACTGATAAAAGTTTGCTAATTTTCCCCCATTCCGTTGTTTATCCAAGTTTATCCTCATTTGGATTATTGATAAAAAATCTGAATGCACTAATGTGACCAAATTTCAATGTAGTAATGCACGATGTGTTTGCAAAATATATGTTTTTGATTGAAAGATCTCTTAGTATAATATAATTTTAAAAGTCAAATAACTTGGAGATCTTACTGCTTAAAGCAATTAGATGCAATTTTGACCGTTCCGTGACTAGCGTCTATATATAATGAATAACTCAATAATACTGAATAAAAAACTGTTTATCTAGAAAGACGTTAAAATCAACGACTTCAACTGTTTGATATATGCACACATCGCATTTCTTTATCAGTTTCACACATATATGTCGATGATCAAAAAATATATGCAAACATAGCAACTTCAAATTTGACAGAAATATCAAAAGTTCTTGCACGTAGGGTTTTGTTGAAAATGGGAAAAATCGGTCGATGGACACGCCCGCAAGTACACTGAGAACATCTCTGTTTTGTTTTCAAAAAGAATAAAATATTGGCTTTTAGCTCACTGCTCATAAATAATATAACAGACAAATGTACGAAAATTTGAACGCATGTTCTATGGGCGATGCTGTAGCACCTGCACAAAAATGAAAAAATTGACCAGGCTTATCCAATATTATAGTGCATCAAAAATTTAACTTTTCTTTTAACAGCTTCAATAGCTTTTTCAAACATCAAACTTCAAAGCACATAACTTCTGACTACTTTCAAATTTGTCCATCTGTTCGTCTATACATCTGCCTGTCTGCGCAACTGTGTAGCATTTGTGATAAACATTTCCCGTCAGTGGGAACGAAGATATCGCCTATAAAAGAATCAAAAAATAACCTAAACTTTTCAGGGGACATGTCTATGCGACAAAAATTGTTTCTTCTTAATATAGAATAGAATACAGCCGCACCCACTGAATATTATAGAGCATAAAAATGTAGCTCTTTTACGTTTTAGGACAACGGGGGTATAAAAGATTCGTCTACGATCGGATATAATTTGCTCGATTGTTTTCTTTTCTGCTATTTTTTGGCGACGCTCTACGATAGTGAAAATACATTGAACACCGATATTTCTTGAGAGAGCAAAAAAACTAAAACCGTTCCTACTCTACTAGCTTCAAACGCTGTCAAATTATCTATTGTCTACATTGACAAAATATAATATGATCTCGTTAGCAAAGAATTCAAAAATTGTCATATGTTTGCTGGAAAAAGATATTCATTTAGTTAGCATATAACTTTGTGGTGGTGGATATATAATATTCGCCTCAAGGTGAATACAACTTACTTTTTATATGTAAACATAATATATATAAATATTTGCGAAGCATGTTGTTTTAGTGCTAAATATAATTTTATAAACATTTCTTGGCATGAAAAAAGTTTCTCTACAAACTATATAAACCTATCTACATATAATAATGATATTTGTATATGGATATGTACATAGGTATATATTAATATATATATTTATGTATAAATTTAGCATCACACTGGCAAACTTTCGCCAAATAATTGAGTGAAATATTCCCTTCACAACCAAATATGAAATTTCCAAAGGGTGTTACAAAAATACGAAATCACTCAATAACCTGCGTTTCATACAATGATTCGCTTGTTCACAAGCATGATAACTTGAATATTATTGAATGATGTTTTTGCATAAGTATTTGCTGTATTTTATAAATTATTAATTGTTTTCTCTATTATTTTTTAAATATTAATTAATATACACATGCTAATGCACTGTTACATGAAAATGAAAGATTTCCTTTATTATGGGTTTTATTTTGTTTTTACTTTTATTTTCAATACAAATTTTATTTTTTTATTTATTTACTTTTTTTAAATAAATACATACTCTCCTTGGCAGAAGGGTAATTGTTTATTCAAATGTGAGATAACTGATCTCGGATACCTGTATTCCCAAACTAGTGACTGTAATTAAGAGTAGTTTTAATCAAATTTTCTCTGCTGTAACATTAATTAATTCATTTCCTGCCAGGATTTGCTAGAAAATACAACCATCTCAGCCGTCAAATGATTTTAAGTCATTGCTTGAATTAAAATTTTACGTAGGCGTATTAAGAATATTCTAATAAAAAATAAAATAAACTTTAATTGAAAGTGACACAAATAACTCCATTCCGTTCGCTTGAACTTATCGTAAAGCCTTGTTGCGAGTTTTATATTTTATAAAGGTGTACATCGTGCATAGGAAATTATATTACTATAACAAATCAGGTAACAGTTCGCCTAAATGTATGTTTCGATTTTGACTTATATATAATATAAGGACGAAATGAAAGGGACGGAACCGAATAAATGCCTGCAGCAAAAGACGATAACGACATTGTTAAACCAACGAGCTTATATTTGACATTTACGAAAAATTAAATGTTTCGACTACGACTATTGAATGACCTTGAAGTGATAGATATTTGAATATTCGCAGGACAATATTAAACTGAAAAATCGAAGCGAATTCTACGCGTATGGCACTCTTTGTCTCTAGAATTTTGATTTCAATGCAAATATGCTGTTCTTTCCTATAGGAGCGGTTTTAAAGCTACTTAACGAAGACGCAGCTCATTCATTTCAACAGCAGATGCATTTTTCTTTTATGTTAGGCTTATTGCGAGCTCAATTTGCTCTCTTAGCATGGGCTGTGTGGTTGAAGTGTATCACAAGCGGTGCCAGTTGAATCGAGAAATACGGAATGTTATGTGCGTGCAAACAGCTGAGCATACAGTGGAAATCAAAAGTAAACTTACAAGCAAAACTCTTAGGATGGTCTTTTAAAGCTTATAAATACAATTGTCTGCCAAGTTAAGTAGTATAGAGATATTAAATTTTTCTCTAATTTTTTTTAAGGATTAGCTTATGTTGGATTACTTTAATATCAATTCATTCAGATGGTTTATGTTTACTTAAAAAAAAAATCTACACTTTAATAATATTGTTTGCGTATGAAATTTACTTTAAACTTTTGTTTTATAAAAATGAAAAAAAAAAATAAAAAATAAAAAAAAAAAATAAAAACAACAACAACGGAATGAGCCCAGTTGTACTCTATATATAACTGATATACAAGAAGTAAAAAAAAAGAAAAAAAAAAAAAAAAAAGTTATAACAATTAAATGTACTTGTTTCTCTACCTGATATTGTGTATATTGCCTTTATTTTAATGTATACCTACAACAGGTTCATGGTCAGCATCGACAAGTCCGGCCCGTTCGCCTTCACCGTCACGTTATGGTGACCATATAGCACGCACCAGACGCCCTGAACTGCCTTATCCCACATACGGGACAACCAGTCTATGTCAAAGATCACGATCACCGAGTCCCGCTCGACTTCAGGAGATGCGTGAACGAGATAGACTTGGTTATGGGATTGATATGGGTATTCTATCTCTCACCAATTCATGCACACACACAGTGTCTCGTATCACTTTTGCTCTCTCGCTTTATTTGTTGTCTGTCATGTCAAAATCGTAGAACGTTTCAAACATCTGGCGCAACACAACAGTCAAACAGTTCAATTTATATTCAATACAGTTCAGTTCAGTTCAGTTCAATTCAATTCAATTCAATTCAATTTAAACAGTCAGCTTCATAAAAGCATCCATCTATCTCATAATACACAATTCTATTAAACCCACTGAACTCGATTCATTGCCTTTGACCACTGTGAGTTAATCATATATTGTATGATATAGAAAATTCGGTGTATAGCATAAAACCGTTCATCATTTATATGTAACTCTCTTTCATTTAACATGATTTCATATCCAATGCTTAAAAATCATAATGAAAAAAGAAAAAAAAAAGTAAATAAAATAAGTTTATCTCCCCAATCAAACATTCTTTCTCTCATTGTCTATAATAATGTGTAATAAATGTAATGTTCAAGAAGTCACTCGGGTCGAATTCTCGCTTCAATATCGAGTGCACTCACGTGTCGACAGCTCTCTGACGATGGCATTCTTTCTCCGTTTTCGAATCGTAATCATTTTCTATTCTTGCCTTTTCATCGAAGAAATACGTGACTAATTATCTTCATTCAATCTAAATATTGTTGCTTACTCGAATTCGTTTCACTTCTTGGACCTTGCAATCCTCATCCGTTTCTCTAATTCGCTTTGTTTCAGAAGTTGAAAGGAATTTCTTCGCCCGCGGTTTCAGTTTAGATAATTTACTTAAACACTATTTCGTTTTTGCCCTATATACTTGATCAGCATAAAAGCCTAAAAAAAAAAACCTTTAGCACTAACCTTACATTAATAAAAGAGATTAACATCTTTTTACTAAGAGGATCCAATAGGGTCTTAATATTATTGCTTAGTTTCAATTGTAGACTAAAGCTTTGGCCAAACGTTTATAAGTTTTCTGCATTCATTTTTATTGTCCTACCCCGGAAACGTTTGTCACTGATTTGTGATGAACGACTTCTTTTTTTTTAATACCGCGATTAAATTGTCTCGACTGAACTTTTTTTGTTGCTTTCCCCAATTCCTTGCTTATATTGTGTTCATACATTTACCGGAAACTACATTTCCGGAAAACTTGCTAAGCATACTTTGCCTTTAATTAACCTTTCATTTCTACTTAATATTGTTCTATGCTCGTTAATTAATGCTGTATAAATCGTTTTGTTCAACAAATGCGAATATCGTGGATCATTATTTTCATAATCAGTTTGCGTTGCCCACAAGTTAGCCCACAGTCTGTTTATGTCCATTCATTTACTCAATTATTATATGCTTTTGTGATCACAATAAATGTAAATATATTTCGCTTAAAGAAAAAAAAAAAAAGAAAAGTTAAATAAAAAATAAAATATTCTGACTTAACGGATGCCATCAATCCAGAACTCGTTGCAAATTGTTCGACATCGAAGGCCATCGTTACCTTCTCATTGAAGATGACGATGGGACATTGCTCGCTTTCGAATGCGGGAATTCGACCCCAGAGTTTTGTATATTTGCAATAAATGCCATAATATTCATTACTATCACTTCTATCATATGAAAAAAATGGGTTTCAATTTTAATTTTCGTTTTCAATTTTATTGATTTGATTGATTGAAAGCTTTTTTAAGCGAGAGAAATTGCAGTTTTAATCAAATTTCTTTATTTATTTAAACTAACTCTATATGTCACGAAGCATGCCATCATTTCAAATTATGTAAACGAAAAAAAAAAAAAAAAAAAAAAAAAAAAGAACAACAACAACAACAACAAGCACAATCGATTATTTGTCATGCTTTTTATCTTTTTCGCTTTCCTTTTCCTTTTTCTTTTTTTTTTTTTTTTTCTTCTTCTTCTAATAATTGAAGTGGGATATATATTTTACATGCGTTTTCATTGAAACATTTGTTTGGTATATTTTTTCTTCTTCGAGTTTTCCGTTCTCTTATTTATTTCTTTTTTTTTCGCATTTTGTTTTATTAATCACATTTATTTTTATTTATTTTTTTTAAATATTCGAAAACAGGTGGTACCCATGGTCAGCACAGTTACCCAACGTTGAATCAACGTCGGGGTGGAGGTCGAAGACTACCACCGACACCGAGCAAACCATCGACACTGCAGCTAAAGCCAACAAATATTAATTTTCCAAAATTAAACGCAAGTCCAACACACGTAAGTACACTTTTTGTCAACATTTCGATTTAATATAATTTGCTAACAATTGGAAATATAAACATATGTATATATATATATATATATATATATATGGACATGGTAAATATATATGGAGATATATGCATACTCGTATATATAATATAACCAAGAGTATTCTTCGTCAACTGAAAATTCTGATTCGATTTAGCGAAGTAAGCCTGTTCGTCTGCTGTTATTGGACTTTTAATATTCGTAACGATCGGAGTGAAAGGCTCAACACTTTTCTTAGTTGACGGCATCAATAGATCCCAAATTGAAAAATTACTTCTAGCTCATATACCACACGAACCGAAATTTAATCCAAGTATTTTCAACTGTCATTCAGAAATTTTAAAAGCAAGCCGAGCAGATTTTTACCTAGACTAATGTGAGGCTTTTAAACTTATTTTCTATGGAACACATTTTTTTCCACATTTTTATTATGGACTAAACTACTATTTATATGAAAAACTATGATAGTCAGGTCCATTGTCACGAAGCTATGCCAGCCTTCTAATCCTTTCAACTTTCCATAAAATTAATCGTTTACCATGGCCCGGTAGGCTAGCCTTATTTCGTTCGTTGAAAGGCCCTATCAAGATCTGCGTATCCACCGACCGGTCATTTATTAAGCATAATTCTAGGTTCGACTTCGGCTTATTATTAAGCAAAGAGTGATTGGGAATACGTTTAATGACTAAAAATGACTTAATCTTGAAAATTATTGCTCTGTTAGATAAAAATTATTCAATTTTTTCGATATTCGTTTCGAATATTTGATCAACGATTGGATTGATTGATCTTGCATGCAGAATGAATGAATTATTATACACTCAATCATACTCTTCTCTCGACAGGGAATATAATTCAGAAAAACGTTGCTTAGTTAATTTCCAGTATTGGCGGGAGCTTAGTTTATTAGTTGTCTCCTTTGGTTTGAAGTTTGATTGAACTGAATGATTATTTATCTCTTTGTAGACACATCATTCGACACCTCATAGTGTTCACTCGTTGCCACACCACCGCGATCTGTTGCGGGACCCTAGAGATTTATATTACAGCAGTAGAGAACGTGAACGCGATAGAGCACGTTATAGGGACCGCTTAAGAGATTACGATTTACGATATGAATATCGAGATCGTGAACGTGAATTATATGAACGCGAAAGAGATCGCGAGCTGGAGTTGGAAAGAGAAAGGTAAATATGAACGAACATTTCTCATACAGAGTTAATTTTCAAAAAAAATTTTTTTTTTTGTTATAGACTGGAATACATAGCACCCTTGTCATTTGAACAAGCGTTAGCTATGGGTAGAACAGGGAGAGTTTTACCGTCACCTGTTCTGAATGGTTATAAGCCGAAGGGTGGCCTTCATGCACGCCATTCCGATTCAGATGAGGAGGATTGGTGCTAGCAAAGGCTTTGATTGCGATCGCGTGATCGAAGGGAACAGATCTGGGTATAGCATCAGGCCATTTTGACAACATTATCCGCACCCGATTTAGACCATAATTTCGATACAATACCGCTGCAACAATTCAGCCATAGAAATGCGACCACATCGTTCAATGACTTAACCACAATTCAAAGACTTGTAGTGTCACCTTTACAACAATATTTACATAATCGAACAGACGACGATAACATTGTGGCGGAGACATCATTCATGGAAAATATAGCAACAACTAAGGTGTATTCGGATCACGAAATCGATTATCGATTTCCACATGATACGATTAACACAGTACCAATCAAGGAGACAAATATAGGCAAAAAGGATGATAAAGAACAACAACCATTACCGTATTCACCAGTAGATGAACAACATCTCTATCATACGCTCTAATCAGCGACAGTAAATAAGATGCCATTCGTTTTATTTATTGACTTATTTATTTTCTAATTTTTTTTTAATATTTTTTTCGTTTACATTTCGTTTTCGTTTTTTACTGCATAATCTTACTGAAACGGATTTTTAAAAAAATTTAAACTAATTTTTAAGATGGTAAAGCAAGCTTTAAAGTTTATGTACCTTAAAAAAGATTAAAAAAAAAATTGTTGAAAAAGCAAGAATTTTGTCGATCGATGTCTACAGAAACCAAAGATATTTTATTATTTTCTTTCCTTTAAAACACATAACAATATATATTAGAAAGCAAAGCGTTAGGGAGGGAGGTTTTTTTGCAAAAGACTTCGTTTCAATCGTATATCTCTTTTCACAAGACAAGAACAAAGAAACAATAACAAAAAAAAAAAAAAAAAAAAAAAAAAAAAAAAAAAAAAAAA